AAAAAGAAAAACGAGTTTGGTTTCCTTCCATGTAAATAGGAGAACGGAAAAATTGAAACTCTTTTGTTGACTATGTTTCTTTTTCACGGAAAAAATCAGAGGATAAATATCGACGCGGACGGGGGTTATTGCGTGATAACTGTCTTGTGATCTTGCACCACGTGACGTAAAGTAACCAATAAAATCGCGCCAAAATTAATGTGTGGGTTATAATCAGTTTTAGTATAATTTCAGAGCTGAGCAAAGAGTTTCCAGCAATCTGATTGGTCGAGCGGTTCCTTATATAAAATTTTAAACTAAAATGTTAATAAATGTTACGATTTTAGAGATTTCTCTGTTGTTCAGCTCTGAAATTATACTAAAACAATTATTCGCCTCAGGTTCGGTGAATATTCTCGAATAATCCCCTCGACTTCGTCTCGGGGATTATTCGACGATATTCATCTCGCCTTCGGCGAATAATTGTTAAATACCTTCATCAGTTGCCCATTGCTTGTTTAAAGATACTTACACAGCGGCATTCAAAGGTTGTGCCACGCCAATGATCATAATTATTATGCCTAGTGCACCGTGAGCGAACTTCAGATGATCAAACGGGACTGAAATAAAGGCGCAGATGAGGCCAGCAATCGTCAATAATAATCCTGACACCTGCAATATATAAAGAAATATATGTCATTGGTCAAGCATGATTGGAGAAAAAGATCAAAGAAGAATATCCCTTTAGAATTGAATTTATGCCGGACAGTCTATGTGATGCTCTGAAAGAGGACCAAAAGGGTAAGGAATCTTGGGAACGGTTGAAGTAGAGGGGATTCCTGCGATAGTGAGCTCTGAACAGCTTACAAAAACACCAGATCACATAACGAGCACTTCAGTAGCACTCCTATTTCCTCAGACATTATCTAAATGCTTTTATTTGATCTGGAAATCAAATTTTGCCTTTCTGTAGTTTACCTGAAGACCACGATGCATCTTGAACCACCAAGGGTCCTTGTGCCTAAAGTAACGTGCAATGAAGGCTCCAGCCTGGAGAAGCACTCCCCAACCAATGAACATAAAAATACCATGCAGCGCCACTAGGTTGAAATCTGACGAACCACATTCACCAGCAGATGGGTTTTTATCAGCCTCAGCTGCTGTTCCCTCCAAAAGCCAGATGTCGTTTAATAAACCTTCACCGCTTAAGAAATAGTTTACCTATTAATGACTGTATGTAAGGGTAACTGGAGGTTTTGCCCCGTTGCCAGTTCGCCCCCAAAGGTAAAACGTTTTCGCCTCACCTTTACCAGTTCGCTTCCAAATCATTCAACTCGTTTGTAATGGTGCATTGGTTGACACGGCTATGAATTTGCATGCTGATCGAACTTTGTTCTGGTTTCGAAGTGAAATTGTATCTTAGTAAAAAAAAAAAAATCATGATTTGGACAATTAGTGAATACCCTCTGTAGTAAGGAAACGAATCGAAACACATGGGGGAGAACCTATAAACTAAGGTGGTGTTTTCCGTTATGGGGCAAGGCAACTTTTAGGTGGTAAGGAGCGAACTTGCGATAGGGTGAAACCACTATAGATCTATCACAGATCTTATAGTTAAGAGTACAATTCAAGACTCTTGAAACATTTGAATGACAAAGGTTACCCCTTCATGAGTAACCCCAGCTTGTTCTATATACGCAATCGTTATCTAGCTAGTCGTTGGAGCAAAACTAACTAAAAGATCTAAATTCATCCGTTCTTTAGTGAACAGGCAATAAACAAAATGAAGACAGAATGAAAACGATAAAAAGGAACAAGAAGGCACGTCACCGACAGGGTTATCAAAATGAATCAAAATGGTTTCAAAAAACAGCCTTCATCCGGAAATTATTTTTTGGGGAAGAAAAATGGGGACTATGCTGATAATTGCATTTCGATTTAATTAGATAAATCAATGTCTTACTCGGATCCCGAACCGCTAAACAACACAATCCCGTTATCAGTCGTCGTCATAACATGACCAACTCTTCTTGCTGGTGAAGTACCCTGCAAAAATACACACAGTGTACAATTATAAGAATTTTTGCAGAAAAAATTACTCCCTGTCCAAGATAACTGACGTCAAAACCATGAGTTGGGTGTTAGAAACAAGTTGCTTTCCACTTCCTAAGGTTAATTTCTTCTAGTTGAGAGGATTTGCCATAGCAGAATTGTGATAATACATAGATTACTACTCATCTTATGAGAGGACAGAGAAAGCGAGGATGGGTAACTACCTAAAGATGGGTCTTCAATAAAAAAGAGGAATCTTTGAAGAACGTTTCTCTTTTCAAGGATCATTGTAAAGAGCAAAGACTTGGATAGGTATCATTTAAAAAAAATTGCCGTATTTTTCAGAATCTTGCATTTATGTTATGACTACAGTCGACTGCAAAAGTTGAAAAATTTTTCCATCTCTTGCTCCATGCTGTAAAATAATATGTAAGCCATATTCAGCCATTCATCATACAAGTAGGGGCTGTTAAGGCCAGTTGAGAACCCTGTGTAGGACATACATGAACGGAATTTGTTCATGGTAAAGAGACACCACACGCCACTATGTAGCGACGCAAATGTCGCAGGCCTGTAGTGGATGTCGAGGGGAGGACCTGCTTTGCTAGGTTGTTACTTAAAATTCATTCAATAGATTTACATACCTCCACTGTTTTTCTTTCCCACTTATTTGTATCAGGATTAAAGACAGCAATCTCATTCGCCTTGTAACGTGGCGTCTACATGTAATGGAAAAGGAAAATATTCTATAACTAAGACCACCCGTAGATATAGAAAAACCAATTATTACTAAACAGACTTGTAATGTGATTAGTTGTTTGTTTCAGTTTCAGAATGCAACAGCTAATTCCAGAGTGAATACAGATAATTGCACTGAAACTGTGGCCCCTAAATCGTTCCTAACTCTCACCTCCGATCCGCGACAAGAATGTATACATGAATAGAAAAGTAATGACCAAAAAGAAACATGAAAGAAATTTCTAAAATAAACAAGTAACACTGCAGCTATTTAAGTTTGTTATTTACTTACCACCAACACAGATTTGCTCGTTTCCTGCCCAGCATACAACACCGCTCTACGTTCACTACCATTCAGTGGTGGCAACATGGCCATTGCAGAATACATCCGGGGTGTTGAACATTCCTCCAGGCGAGTCCATTCTGTTTTGGTTGCATCAAATTTCCAGTTATCTTTGGAAGGACATGAACCACCTGTCATCCCACCTCTGAAGGGAAATCAAATCAGATGGTAATTAGAGAATAATTTCTGCAGCCAAAGTAAGACTGTTGATGATTGAATAGGAGTTACTATGCAAATACTGCCATGTCCGTATAAAACTTAAGATTAATTTACTAAATGAGGACTGCTCATTCAAGTCCAAATTTTTCCTCATGCACAGGAAATTTATTTAACGATTTTTTTCAGAAATGAAATTCTCGCGCGCTCATTGGTTCGTAGCAAATTGACAGGTCAATAGAGCATAAACAACAAAATGAAGTCAAACACACAACCTTAACACGGCTAAGAATTTGTACGCACTTTGTGTGATTGTTTAAAAAGAAAATAAGTTTTGCTTACGCTATTTCTTCTTTGTTTGGAAACAAAGCTTAGGTTTCTGTTGTGGTGTTTTGTTTTGCTAGGTCCATGAAAATCATTTGCAATTCAAATTTGTGCAACAGCGACAAACAGCCGAGGTCGAGAGAACAACGCTACAATATTTAATAAAATTGTCCTGTTCGTTGTTAAGATAAAATGAAAAAAATAAAGCGTTGAGAGTTAAGTAGTTTGAGTCCTTTTAGTCTCCATTATTTTTATGCAGTCTTTCTTTTTTGGTAATATCTTTAAAAACCTTGCTTCATTCATTCTCTTCGGTGCGCATTCCATTTAAATAAAAGAAATATTCGCTGGAGATCATTGTTGTAAAAATTGCATGTTACAATCTTACACCTCACTGTTTCAACAACGCCATCTCATTCACGCATTTGAAAGTACAGTATAGACAACCGAAAGGAGGGCTGATGTGTGAACTTTTGATTTCGATGCACAGATTCCAAAATTGAAACACAGATCTTGAAAAGCATGCATATGCCGAATCCTACGAACCCTCTTCCAATTGATATAGAGTTAAAGAGACATATCTAAATAGTTCATTTCTAGACACTCAATCAGCACCTCAATGTTATTGCTTACAACAAAACTTTCCAGCGGAACTCTAACAATACCCTCTGCACTCTGTCTATTTAAGTTTTAAAACTACTACACCACTTTGCATAACTTACCCAAGACATCCTCCATACATTACCAGCTCATCTGGGTTTGTCAGTGTTCCTGTGTGTAAGCATCTTGCGTGTGGATAATTTGGATTGTAGTTATTTGAGCCGGAAAACTTCTCCTCCCATTGGTTTTTGTCTAGGTCAAACTTAAGAGTGTTGGAGTATCGAGTGCCAGAGAAACCATGCGTGATGTAAAATCCGTTAACACCTTTGCCGTCGTCAAATATTCCTCCGGCAGATCCGTATCGTTCTTGAGGTTTTATGTTAGAGCCATCACTGAGCCTCTTCCACTGTTCTGTGTTTAAATCAAACTCTAAAATATCATCGAAGAAACGGCGTTTCGAAGAATCACCCTCTCCGGAATATTCTCCGGTCGATACGTAGAAAGTACTTCTTCCATTATCAGCGCCGTACACCATACTAAAGCGTTTCTCAGGGATGGAGCCTCCCGTTGTTAATTCTTTCCATTCGTTAGAACTTAAATCAAAGGCCCATGTATCTCTAAAGTTGTCTGAACCCGCTCTACCACCGAAAATAATCAAACGATTATGCTTTCGGTCAAATCCGATGGACGAATCTCTCCGAGGCTTAGGAAACAAGTCTGAGTCATTGGTCGCTGAAAGTAAGCGCCATCTGAGCTGCGAGTAAACAGCCGTTACTAGCAACAGAAAAATAACCGGTCTTAACATTTTGAAAACCGCCGAAGTACTGAGAACCCAAGATACGTAAATGTAAACTTTTATAGTCACTTCGGCTGTATTTGCATATATTAACAACACGCAATGTGCTATATAATTTCAATGTTTTGACAATGTATGTTTTTGTCGTGACACACGTCACAGTGACACGGCAGAAATTCTATAACGCGGGAAGAAGCTGGTTCACAAAACAACCAATAAAATGCAACAGTTTTTTTGGTTATTCAGACTACTGATATCGATTTAACAAAATATCGGTAGCAAGGTTAGAAGTACATCAGTCTGACTGTTGTGAAATATCGAATGAGGAACCTCGTTATTCTAGAGCTGATATTACCACTTTGACAACAATGATTTATGAACGAATTAATTACAATTTTTATTTCAGTAGATGCTTGTTAGTATTTATAATATCACTCTTGCTAGAAAGAAACATTTTTTTATTTATACTTCTTACGTGATATATGTAAGCCGTCGAACAAGCATGGGCTCGGTGTTGTTTTGGTAACGGAAAAACAAGTCAACACGGAAAATGTTTGACAGTAATATGCAAAGTCATAATACATTGCGTTCGCAGCAAATATTTCCCTTATTTGTAAACATTCTACTTAAGGGAGTGGTTTAAACAAATACCCCAGTACATTGATAAAAATGCAGTCTCATCGCAATCTCACTGATCAATTCACTGAGATGGCTGCATGGTGTTTTAATTCGAGCGCTCACAGAGTCCTCACAGGTAACTGTCATCGAGAATTAATCAGTTCCACACGATATGTACTTGCACAAACTCGCCAAAACCTCAATTACTAGGAATTTAGATTCTTGTGGGGCGAATAACAACAATCACCATTGGATACAAAGAATTTTGTAATATTGATTATATCTCAAACCACAAGTATAGCTATAAGTTGGAACCTCAACTTACCCTGGGTTAGATTTACGATGTTTGATCGTCTTGATGGGATTTACAGCGTGAAATGATTTTATCATGAGTTGGTTTTTGTGCCTGGCGAAACCAGCACAAATAAGAAATTTGACCAGCTAACGATACATAGGATTGAAAAAACATGGAAAATTACAAACTTTTAGTGGAAATTTCTCTTTATTATTCGTTATAACCGCGCGGTCGTGATCGAGATCCATTCGGATATTGAGCGACTTCACGGAACCCTAAAAAACGCATTATTTGGCTTTGTGCATTATTCATCAGTTCATACGAGGCCGGTTACTCAAACAAAGTTTAGTCGTTGTTCAACGAAAATGCGTTCTAAGTCATTTGCAATTAGGTCGAACCTTTTAGCTGAACATTTATTTTTGTGAACAGTGTCAGGATGGCCGAAAGCTAGCACTGAAAGAACATCTATTCAGTAACAAAAACAACATTCCTATGAGAGAATAGGGCCCTCTGCTTGCGTAAAACCGCGTTTCGGGATAGACTACGCCGGCGTAATAACTGGCCCACAGTTTTAACGAAGAGTTCGACGGTTGCCATGTCTAGCAATTTCTGATTACCGTGACGAAACGTTTGATAAACAAGTTTATTTTAAGAGACGACTAAATAGGAATAGCTGACTGGTTTGATATCTTTGGGTCTGCGGTTAATACAAAAGATATTCCAGACCATCGGCTCAAATTCACGTACCAAAATTATTGATGAAGACCCCAAAATCGCAACGACTTTAAGTTGAGGAGATACTTCAAAGGTCAAACAACAGAGTCATTTAAATAGCTTTCAAAACCACTGACGGATGTAAGTGGCGATGACTTTCGTAAGTGTTATCCACTTAAACGTGTTATGACGTACACTGCTACACCCAGAATAATTAGGCCTTCACATCATGGATGACATTTTCACCTTTAACAAAAAAGTATTACAAAAAATTGTACACAGTCCTGTTGTGTATGGGCGAGAATTATATGGTTTTGATTATGAATTCGGTGAGAAGGGTAAACGAAATGAAATATACTGGAGTACCTCTGCTTAGTTTCAATGACGTCCATATTGATATGAATTTGAATATTCCGCGTTGACACACTTTTTTAACTCCAATTATCTCTGAACAATTCGTACGCCACAGTCAAGCTTTGCGCCTTGCATCTTCGCATTTCACTCTCCTCTTCGGAGGAAAATTGCGTGTTATTCCATTTTCGCCAATGACTGACAGTGACTGACTTCTCGGCGAGTGCACAGTAGCAGCAACTTGTTGACATGGTTGATGCTACCAAAGGTGGTTATTCCGTCATCAATCAACAACACTTTTATCCGAATTCAAGCCAGGTTTCCTTATGCAGAGTTTGTTTTATTCCCATGCCTAGTCTTTGCTTTATTTTCTAACTTGCATTATATATTATTTGTTCATCCTCAGCCTTCCCTGACTTAGAAGCTTCGTCAACAACGTTCAAGGCGTTATTGATTTTGTTCATCGTTTGACTCTGATGTGCTCCTCTTAAAAAAAACTATCAAGTAAAGCAATGATCCTCGTCAGTGCGCTGGAATTTACGCAAATGCAGAAGAGAAGCCGGAAAAAATTCAAGCTGAATTTTTTTTCAAGCCTGATTTTTTTTTTCAAGCTTCTTTTCTGCAATTGCTTACATTGCCGCTCCCTACGAGGATCACTGCTTTACTTGACTTTCACCCGCACATCAAATGAAAGTTATCAGTTTCATCAAAAAGTTGTCAACTATGTTTTTCATGAAAATAAGATAAAGATAAGAGGTTTTTTTTTTTTTAAGTATTTTTGCAGCTCAGTTGTAGAATTAACTTTTCTCTTCTAGTTGCTGCATGCCTATGGACACGCACTTGTACAATATAACACTTTTGCTGTTAAACTTTTATTACTTCTACTCTAGATCGGTGTGATGCCATCATTGGTAGTACGCGTGTCTTGCACACTCGTCATTATAATTTGCATTCAAGAGAATAGGATCTTAACTCTATTTCGGCACACCCCCCTCCCCTCACACACCCCCTACCACTTGAGAGAAAAGGAACCCAAATGTTTTAATAAATAAAGCAATTTTCCCACGTGTCTAATGTATTACAGCTAGAATCCATATAGCAGGGCAACTGCTCTTCGTCTGAACACTGTTGTTGAACACTTTCCGTCTTGTGGCCTCGCGAATATTGTGCTTCACCTTCATGCTTCCTTGGTGGACGACAGGTGTCTCTGTATTGTAGTGTACTTTCAGTATAGCTTGCATGATCGATGTACAAACAAGGTTGATAAGATTGATTATTAAAAGAATGGCAGATTAAATTTGGAGTGTTTTTCGTGCAGCTTCGACAATCCATCAGAATCGGTTTGAATACCCGATTAAGACAATACATGTATATCTAACCAGTTGCTGATTTCTCTCCCGTCTTAACACATATTAAATATGAAATTATTCATTGATTGTTCATGTATTGAAGCTGCTTCTTGTTATGTTAACATTTTGTTTTTACTTCATACTTTTCTATAAATAAACATTCGTCTCGGGAAATGTTTCACCTTTAAAAACTGACAAAAGCTTCACTTGATATGTACAAACTGTGTCATCACATGTTGTGGTCACTTTCGCGGAAAGAGAAGGCCGGTTATGTGCTAGTGTCTTATTCAGAAGTCAAGTCGGAAATCATTTCTTTTTTAATGTATTCTTTGGATCAAAATGGTAGCTCTTGATAAATTTCAACTCTTTACTTTTCTAGCGCTCATCCTATTGTATTGTAAACACATTCTAAAACAAATGAAAACTTTCTTTTCATCTTAAACTGAAACATTGTCTTTGCCTTTCATACCAATCTTAAAATTCGACATATTTAGTTAGTAACATCAGAATAGATTGACGACTTTATTTAGATAAGTACTGTACCGACAATTACTCTGAGATACAATAAAGACTTCTACACTTTCTATTTTTGTGTCATCGTCAGGCCGAAATTAACCAGCCGGTCCAGCTGATGAAACCATGTAATAGTTTCAATGAACGTGAAGTTGCAGGGATAATGTTTCCACTTTACGCTTGTGAATGACTCAATGTATTTGCAAATTAGATGGCTCATTTCCTGATTCACTCCTAATTCTCTCTTCAGGTTCTCTTAGTTGAAATTTGAATATGCGCTCTTTTTCTCGCTATTCAAAATTATATTTAAAGTTCTTTTTTGGTAGAGGAACCGAGAATCATACAGTGATAGTCTTTTTAACTTTTTGATACCAGGGAAAGGTCATTATACAAGTATTGTCAGCTCGATGATCACTAATTTTTACAAAATACGAAATACTGACCATATAAGAGCGCCTGACTATTTAGGGCACGGGTTTTTATTGGGTCAGAAAACCAACATTCTAAAAGCGAAAATGACCAGTTAGCATTCAAACGAAACGAAGCAACGTAAGTACATTTACAAATGCAAATTTCCCTCACAGTGAATTCTTTGTATTGGGGTATGGTACAATATCATTTTCAGGGGCCAAAAATGATTAAAAGGATAGCCGATCTCCATTGAACTACTATGTGAGACCAAAACTAAACTGATCTTAACTTACGTACTTTTGTTAACGCACTATTTCTTCACTTGAGTCTCTCTGCTGCCCCACGTGATTACGCCTGAAACTAGCTAGTTCGTAGAAACCACTCCATGGTTTCGTATGACAAAACTTTATGCCTCTCGAGAAAGCTAGATGGCACTCTGCGCTTACTTTTTAAGTTAACGTTAGTCACTGGCTGGCAACGTGAAAGTTGAGTTTTGTATCACTTAGGTAAGAACGTTCTCTTCGTAAGACCACTTCTTTAAATGCCTGGCGAAAATCCTTTTTGGTTAATGTACACAATACGGGATTCGATACAGCAGGCACGAAGCTGAGAAATACAAGAAGGCGATTAACCCAGAGTGGCAAAGGAGGCAGATGAAATGATTCCGTATGTTCATAGAGCACCATTAGGAAATACGGTAACCAACAGCCAGCGAAGATTAGTAATGTTATCGATAACACACTGCGTCCTCGCCACTCGTGATGTCGTGACCGAAAACGTTGCCGAAGATCCTTGCTTAGTTTCCGATCTGTTTGGTGACGCTTTAATGAAATGTAAAATATGTTTCCGTAGATATAGCATATCATTATCATAGGAAATGCGAAGAACAACGCTAAACAAGTCAGACTGTATTTAATATCAATGCTCTCTGTTTCGTTGTCAATTGTTGTTAATGCTTCCTCGTCGAAACTGTGCCAAGACGTTTGAATAGTCGAGGCTGCAAATGCAATCAGCCATATGACCACAGTGGCAGCAATTCCTCTGCGGTTTGATACAAGAGAATGGTACTTCATTTGATGAACAATAAAAATGTAGCGGTCACAAGCGATAAGCAGAACATGACATACCGAAGAGATGGCTGTAAATCGAATGAATATTGTAGACAGCACACAAACAATGAGAATGTCTCTTGTTGAACTTGTTAAACATATAAGGGCAAGAGGAATTCCCACCAGACCAGACAACAGATCTGATATGGCCAACGAGGTAAGAAACATGTTGGTAAGTGTTCTCAGGGTCTTCTTTTTGTGGATTAAGATGATAACCAAACCATTTACGGCAGTAATCAGCAGGCAGATGAAGGACAATGCCACAATCAATGGCCAAGGGAAAAAGATGTCTTCGTATCCAGTTTCGTCAAATTCACCTCGTGAATCGTTGACCCTGCAGCTTGTGTTACACACACTGTACGCTTCCATTGCTTGGAAGATGAAATTTCCCTGGACTCTGCTCTGCGTTTTAAATCATTTGGGTGAGTAGCTTCATCTATTTTTGGAAAAAAGCTGATACGCCACTTTTATCAACTAATGCAAAGGCAAATGAAAATTTACATTAAAAGGAAAACGCTTCTAAGTGGCAATATGCAAACGAAATCTGTTAGAAATGAAGTTGAGAACATGCGCAATGCATAAATAAAATCACATCCTGGAAAAATAATGAACTTGAAATTATTCTCTTACTCAGTCCACCTTAACTTGATTTATTTAAGGATAACAAATCGTTCAAGTGAAGAATAGGAGTAAGGTTCAATTTAAATTTGGGTGAGATTGAGTGAGCATGTGTTACTGAGTGAGTCAATTGTGCTATAGTTGCCATCTTAGTCGCCATGAAATATCCGGAACGGAAAACATCCATTAAGGTGAACCATTCTGTCAATCACATTATTTGACAGAGCACTGTAAAAGAAAGAAAGAAAGTTACCCTCGCGCGCATTTTCGTCAGACTTTTCTTCTCTTTGTTTTTTAGTTATCATTTTTAGACTACAATTTCTCATTTGCTCACGGAATCATATCCAACTTTTAATTAAGGAATCGGGTATTCTATTATGACTAAAGAGACGCTTCGTTCATTAACACTGAAAGATGATCATCATTATTAAGGAAGTCACAAGCTTTTCACTAAGTTGAGTGAACGCTTGAGGCGCCGGCTGTGATGCGGAAAGATTTCTCACGTTCGACAAAAATGAGTCAAACAAGGCAAACTGAAATCTTTTAAACCTAACTGCCTATGGCGATATCTCATTTTATCATTTGACCAAATTCAATATCGGATAAAGAATCCTTTAACCCGAGTATCTTTTCAGAATATGTTTGCAAGATTTCAGTTGGCTAACAACTGGTTTAATGTCTTGTTGGCTTCCGCTCCAAACAGAATGAATCATGCAACCACATGGACAGCCTCTGTATATTGCCAGTACTTTTGATGTAACATTAGTAACGCAATTTTTGACCAGTTTGAAATGAAATCTTCCTCTGTAAAAGTCTCAAAGATTAGCCAATAGGTCTTTCTGTATAATGTATAAAACGTTGGTTCAGTTTTCTTGTAAAATGAAAATTATCGTGTATCGTAAAAATTATCTTTTCGTGTAATATAGGACTTATAAAATTCATTCACTGAAAGTGGAAACGTAGAGAAATTAAATTCGCTTGAGCCTTACCTCATCAAATTTAGCTCTGATATTGTAAAATTAAAGTTAAAAAATGTCCGGCTTCTGTTATAACTCTATTCAATGCCGGGCTCATACCTTGGTTGTTTTAACTCGCTCTTTGAGGATCGGTTTTATTCAAATCATTAATATTTCAATTGTTCTTACATAGCTTGACCCACTGAACAATTTCATTGAAAGGATTCTAAGTAGAATATCAGTCGCTATTAAGCTGTTGTTTCATTGATTATTTCGAAATCGTTTAGCTTGGAAGAGACGTTTTGGTTTTGGGCAGCAATCGTTCCCACAAGGAAATTGAGAACTGTTTTCAGGCAAAACACTGATAGGATTTGGACAACAATAACATTTCCAAACTAATACTGTGGCCGCGAGGTTTAAAACTCGTTATCCAAGTCACTAGCGATAGCTAGTAAATTCGCCCCATTGCAAGTCCACCCCCCTGAGGTAAAACGAGTTCGCCCCCATCCTCACCAGTTCAACTCGTTTTAATTTCTTTAGTCGCCATGAAACATTGGAACCATCGACACACGAGTGCGAGTGCAGAATTACGAAACGAAGTTATCGATATCAACCAAAATGAAATTGTTAACTAAACTCAGTCAAGTGGCTTTCCCCGTGTGCCGATTTTAAGTCGATAGAAACTTACAACAATGAATTGTATGCCAAGAGTGTGTTTAAGTACTTTTTGGTCGTCGTGAAGTTAAAAAGGAGGACAGGATAACTAGTTCGGAAAAACTGCTCCCAACAAAAGCACAAAATTGTGTCCAACCACGTCAGATCAAAGTAATGAAGCGGATTTGCATTACTCGTACATTACTCGTGCGTTTTTTACACGGCTAGGAATTTGTATTTTGATTAAACCTTGTTATGATTTGCTGTAAAAATTGCAAGTTGGTCGCAAAATCTCATGATTTGGACAGGAAATAAATACGTTCTATGGTAGGACAACGATTCTAAAGATTTGGGGGCGAACTGATAAGGGTGAGAAAGAATTCGTTTTACGTGAGGGGACGAACTCGAAAAAATGATTGGGGGTGAAGTTGCAGTGGGGCGAATTTACTACAAACTGTGTGTTGTTGGCTATTAAACTCATTTTTAACGTATCCCTGACTGAGTGGGCTGCCGTGTCATTTCTTCAGTTGTTCTCATCTACATGTTAAGAGCACAAGTTGTATCTGATCTCCTTCTTGAGATTCCGTGACCCGCTAAAGATGCCATAGGGCAATTCTTTTTTTTTATCTTTGTATCTTTAAGGAATCAAGACATGCGAGTCTCTGTCTGATGTTTGATATTCGCCTTGTCAAGAAAGACTTAAGAAAATCAAGTGATAAAAGAGATCGGTTGAATATGAGATATTTGTTCCAAGTCCAATTTCTGATCAATAAAACTTTTTAATAATCGAAGCTTGATCGAAGCGAACGACAATCGCGCTTGTAATTCTATTTTTGCTCTGAAAAGAGATTTTTAGATCATTTCATAAAAATTCGTGAGAAGTTTCGCGAAGTTTTCCCACGAGGTAAACCGTTAGTTTGCCCATATTGCTTATCATCGATCGCAAATCTGTTGCTACTGAATTCAGAGACTATCTACAAGTCTTCAGTGGCCAAAACAAGACAAATTCGTCGGCCTTCGTGCAAAGTCTCGCGTCTTTTTTTCTTAATGAACAATTAGGATTCAGCCGGCCTAGTTTTACAGTACGACGAAATCATCGTCTTGAAACGCGTTTGAAACTAAAAACTCATCAATTTTAAAGTAGTTTGAATGCGTTTGCATCCAGAATTTTAATGACGCTCGTGCATTTGGGCACCAACGTCGTATTTTCGGGGAAAGAGGGTCTCTTCTCCAGCAGCTACCGACAGCTAATTAAAATTTGTAGGTTCCTGTATATCCGTTCTAGGCATTGCAATCGAAATGCCAAGAAATTACGGAAAATACCCTGGTCATTTCATATATCTTACGACTAGCTGCTCAATATTTATTGGCAAATTTATGCTTCATCACTTCGTTACACCAACCTTGTAAGCCAATGATAGAAGGGTAGTGGAGAGCAAATTTTCAGTCAAAATCGTTTGAGGACGCAGAGTCTTATGGATGCATAACTTGCCAAAATTTGCTGCTGCCGGCTATGTGGGTCTGAGCAAAAGAAACATCATTACGAGAGACGCCAGAGTAGTGATATAGGCAAATGAGATGCAATGCATGTTTAAAATGATTTTTTTTAAGTCTAGTTATGAGGACGATGATAAAAAACTTGAGAAAGGGTAGTAATTAAGGCACAAGGATTCTCCGTCATTATGTGAATGAAACTGTGAACTGGATTTGCTCGGAAGTTTTGTTTGTCGATTTTATAACATCTCAATACAGTGCCAGTTCCTAGCCATTCTATCCGTTTGATGATAAACACTGCGGTAGTCATATCTCTAGTTATATCAATACAGCGGTCAACCATAAGGCATGTGCAAATGGATCAATTTTGTTCGCTCGCGCCCCGATTTCCCCCTTAAAAACTGTCACAACATCACAAAACAACCACTGTCTCGAAAAAACAAGCCAAAGAAAACTGAAACGTTCATAGAAATCTGTCACAATATACTGGATGACATCCCATAAATCTTACCACCGATTTGCATGCAGCTACACAATGTCCTCTGCAATAAATCAGATGAAATATTTGTCAGACTTGCTGCCCTGACGTGCACCTGTTACAAGAAAAACTTGGGAGCACCTTGATCCGTTGTCGATAATAGTCGAAATAGGAGAAACTTCTTTTACCTGACAAAGAAAACAACCGATCACCTCAGCGAACATTTAAAAGGGCTGTTAAACAAGAGAATATAGAATGAGAGAACTTACCCCCTTACATATTTTACAGTGAGAATATTTTTAAAACTAATTTTAGTCTGTGTTCCTGCGGTGCAACAATTTTAAGAACAACAGCTGATTGGTTAGTTGGTCAATGATGAAATTTGATGTGTAATGTTTGGTGGCCTCTGGTTCGTGTTCATTTGGACGATGTGATGACGTGTCTTGGTCAAGACGATAAAGACATAGGCAATGAAAGCGTAAGCTCTGAGCTCTACTCTCGAGGCCTAAGTTGAATCAGAGGGTTTGCATGAACGAACTGTTAAAGAAGAAGTAGGACTCAGAAAAGCACAAAGATAGACTACTCACCGAAGTTTTAGCCCTCCAAAGAACTTCCTAATCATTTGAAATCCTTCAGCGAAAATCGAGTAATAACGCCGTCATCTTGGATGTGGGTAATCTATGCGTGACGTCATTGAGCTCAACATCAAGTTTGGCGGCAAGATGAAACACTATTATTCTCTATCTCGAATTGTTTCCTTTTGTTTTGACGATGCCTTTTTGTGTGGCGCCATTTTTTTCAAATAGGTCACTAAGAGACACTAAGAGAAAAAATTTCGTTTCATTGCGTTGCTTTCGATATGACATTTATTATGGCAGGTTTCAAGACCAAATTCACTTAGCTCGTACGAGATGCCATTATGAGCTAAGATTTTAGCAAAACCCTTGCTCCGGAAACCAGGTTAATTGCAGTGGATAACAGACTGTCAGGGCTGTGCGTGATGTACACTGTGCCCTCCCATGTGGCACAGCCGAGAAGGATAAAATGAATAGCTACCTACATGTGCGTTGCCACAAGTCGAGCTTTTCTTTAATAATAATTTAATATTCATATTGCGAAAATTAACATTTGGATACGATCAAATGCGCATTCCAATTTCCAGTAAACAGGCCAGACCACAACACCGGGAGCTACGTTCCTTACTCTTTGCGATAAGTGTGTGGTTTCTTTAACGTCCCCTGCCAACCAGTACAGATAAGGTGCAGGAGACGGGGCCTACGGATTTTCGTCCTTATCCGAGAAGACTAGAATGTCTAAGCGTTTGTAGATATCATAGCGAGAGCAGCACATTCTTCTCAGTTATTTTAAGACCCTGAGTATTGGTTTGGTCTGGGGCTCGAACCCTCGACTTTCCGTATGGCAGTCCGGCGCTCTACAACTTGAGCTAACCAGGCGGCTTGTTCAAACGAATAAGTTGTGCGACTTCTGGGCAAAATTGTGGAGGGAAAGTGGAGGGGTATGTGTTTGGCTTTGGAGCCTCCCTTCTATCCTTCTATTTGAACCTTAATGGTACTCCAAAAAGATAACATTCTTCTGAATTTCAGGAAGTTATCCGTGAGGGATCTATTGCACCGATGGATGAATCAGCACTGCTTGTGACAATAGTTGGTAGATGTTATTTTGGAATTCTGAGATATTTAGCAAGTCTCATAAAAGTAAAATTTCTGGATCTGTTTGCCTTTGTCTCGGTGCAGTATAACTTAATGAAACTTCTACGCTTTAGTTATTATAAGTTATTTTTTAGGATCAGGGTGTAGATAAAAAACTGAAGATTTGCAAATGGGTTAAAAAATCTGATGAAATGATCAAATTTGATTCAGCATAACTAACTCACTTTAGATTATTTCTCGAAAGCTCTTCTTCTCTATCGAAAACTTGAAACGATAAAAGAATAGAAAACCAAATCCACGGCTACGACACAAGGCACGCAGATTCCTCTACGTAGTTTACCAAGTGGAACAGCTTAGAGTCAAGTTTTCGTCTTCTGCAAAAGGTCTAAAGCTTTCCAATCGCCCCTCCTCCTGAGACCGCTGGGTTTCCATCTTGTATCCGTGTACTTGATGCAAAATCGATAAAAATTATTTCCCCATGCGACTCAATGCAAGTTCAGGAACTTGGATACCGAGGCATTTACAAATGATGTTGGATGGCAGTACGATTCTCGAAGTAAATTGAAAACGATTGTAAATATCTTCTTACAATTTATGCAAGTACCAACTTCAAAACCTTACCAACGACGCTGTATGGGTAGCTCTTTCACTCCCAGGATTGCTCAATGAAGAGTTTCTCTTAACATTTTCGAGAAGAAGGTCAAAGAGAATAATGAGAAAGATTAGCTAAAAGGATATTGTTCGTTTTAACACCAAATCAGTCCCAGGGTAAGAATTATAAGAAATGTGTATAGATAATGCAGAGATGAGTTTGTTTTATCAATTGAGTTGAAAATTTAAATTAGTCGCCGTAAAGAACTTCTAAAGCTAACGTGTCGAGAGTTAGCCCTTTGTCAGCCCTGTGTTAGTCCTTCGCTCTGACGAATTTCTAACGCTCGATACGTCAGTTTTTGATGCCCTTTATAGAGACTAATTTTCGATATCAACTCAGTTGATAAAACTAAATTATCTTGTAACACCCCACCGACATAGCACCACGCTTTCTTTAGAAACTCGCACCGTTTGGATAATGCAGAGAATTGATATGGTGATTTTGGGAGTTAAAAGCGGCTTAAAAGTTACCATGACAGCGGTTGGCTTTGGAAGAATTCGATCCACTTTATGTATTCCGTCGCAGATTTAAGATTTGTTATGCTTTCGAAATTTCTATTTCGATGGTTCTGTTTAAATTCATTGGTAAACTGATTCTTTGACCCTTCATTTATATCATAATCTTGAGTATTAAAAAAACTACAATCATGCACACATTTACACAATCTTTAATTTTTTTTTTTGCCGGAACAAGCAAAGCCACATCAAGGGGGAGGCAAGACAGAAGCTATTTTCCCCCTGATGCAGCCCTCAAGGGAGAAAGGATGGGTAAATGACAATAAGGAGTTCTCAGGTTGAAAGCCAACTAAAAGTGATATTACGGAATAAGAAACGAGTACACATGATCAAGGCAAAGTTAATGAGTATCCGACGAACGTTTCGTATGATACAGCTATTTAACAATTATTCCACGAGCGCGCGTTGGATATGAGATGATAGATAGCCAACGAGGCGCGTAGCGCCGAGTTGGCTATAATCATCT